CACATCAGGGAGAAGATGACAGTATAAACTTACAGGCAAATGTTGTAACACAACTTAGTCACAAAATGTCATAAATCGCTCCTAATTAGTTCGCAATTGTTTCTTCTTTAATTTGAGATTGCTGGTTGCTGCTTGACTCATTTTAATGATGATGAAATGCCCACACAAGCATCATCACTGCCCATCTGTGCTCATGAGTTTTAAAAGGTCTACTATTTTGTGTTAAAAATTAATGTTTTACGTGAATTTTATCTAACATTACGACAAATACAGATTTACAGCTCTAGTTCCTGTAAGGTTATGAAGTTCATGGTTTTCAACTCCATACAGCTGGCCCCTGGGCACAATAACACCGTGTAGAAAAACCAAGGTCGGGTTGTTCCTCAGACTGTTTACATTCCAGGAGAAGAGTCCGAAGGAGAAGAAGAAGCTTTACCTAATCAAAGTACTTTATTTGTGATTAAAATTATTAAGCAAAACAGATGTTGATCAACAATAATCAAGTGAATGATCTGTGAAATAAATATGTCATGAATTATGTTTAATGAAACCAGGATTATGGTGCAGACATACTGATCCTCATCTCCATAGAAACGCATGACACATTGTTCCAACCAATCAGAGCTTTTGGCTGCCGCAGGAGAATCTGGTGTTGACTTCAAGTGTCCAATCCACTTTACTGAAACTTATCAACAATTCAGAGATATAAAACAAGGCAACGCCATTTTAACTCAGTTCCATTTTGACTTCAGTTCTATTCACCATCATCCTAAAGACAAGCGCAGCCTGGCCGGATGCGTTTTCTTTAAAATAAGAACTGTGAAACGGGAGATTTTCGTCGTTTAACAACCAGACGACGTCCTTTCAAAATAAGAGCACCTGCTGACCCCGCTGAACGGTACCGGGTCGACCCTCCAGACGGGCTTTGAAACGTTGTGATCGCTGCACCGACAGCTCCACCGTACATCCGAGGTTTCCAGACCTGGCAATTCCTGATCTACTTGGGAGACCCCACTGGGTACGTACACGGCAAAATAGCGGCTCATGTCATCACTTTATAAGCCTCGTGATATCTAGTCATAACAAAGACGACCAGATTCGATTACGTCATCCTAGAGAATCTGAACCAGACACACGCACCAACACAACATCCGAATCCATTCTCATCCATCACAGAGTAGTCCTGGTAGATTGTTTAGAATTTATAATTCAGAAATTAAAGATTCTCAAACGATCCCATATCTCTCTCTTTTCTTGTCTCAAAGTCAATACAGAGTGTTTAATTAAACTCCCTGATGATAAAAACAGCCAATTCTTCTGTTTATAAAAAGTGAACTACTAACAGTGTATTAAAATACAACTTTAGATAGTTACATCACTTTATTTCCGTTACATATGGCGAGCCAGCCAGGAGCCGAACCTAGAATCACAGTTGAGAAATCTGGTTTGAAAAACAAGTTGAAATCAAATATATTAGCTTAATAATTCCTTTGTCCTATAACTGAAGGAAAATCTCAAAATGACTGTCATAAATAGGGATGCACCGATCAGGTTTTTTGCTGCCGATCACAGACACCGATATCAAAGAATGCTGATCACCGATACCGATCACGTGGATTGGCCAGAAATGTTCTACAACATTATAATGAGTGCTACAAACTACATAATCTGGGAATAAAGGAAATGTAACCTAATCTAAAATGGTCTGTATTAGGGTTGTCACGGTGTGAAAATTTAACCTCACGGTTATTGTGACCAAAATTACCACGGTTTTCGGTATTATCGCGGTATTTTTTTAAAGGTGCTACATTTTCACACAATTAAATAAACCCTGTATGTCAGGAAAATATTGTCCTCAGTTTGTGTCTAAATTTTGCCTAAAATGTGTTATTTTGTAATTATGTTGTTTATTTGTTTACATTTTTTCTCTTTAGTCTTTAAAATACCAATATTTGCCCATAACTTCTTATTTTATGTCTGTTTGATGTCATCATTTTAAAAATATTAGATCAGATGATACTCAGTACTCAAGTAGCCTTCTAATCAGATACTTTTTTACCCTTACTTGAGTAATAAACCCTATATCAGGAAAATATCGTCCTCGGTTTGTGTCCTTCCAGTGAGCTTTGCAGATGTGGGAAAATGTCATCAGGCAGTAATCGTTGTTAAATTCATAATTATTCTCGGAGAGAGACCAACTCTTATCTGCCCCTGGGAGCCCCGTAATGCATAGCGTCATTTCAACATGGCGGTGTCCGCGACACGGTTTATATGCAGGTAGCGGCGCTGCGGCTGCTTTATATAGCGACTCGTTGCATTCTCCCTCAACCCAAATCCTCGGATCAGGCATTTTAGCTAAAACGCTAACGTTAGCTTGCCTTGCGTTGACTGTAGAGTTGTGGGTGATGGTCACGCAGATGTGTCATGAGATTTGAAGCGCTGCTGCCTTTCACAGACACTTTTTCTGCACGTGCTGCAAACAGGATAGCCGTCTTCTATCAGCTGTCCCTCGGCATTGTTCACATATCCAAAAGATGCCGTACTTCCCACTTTGTCTTCTTTGAGGGATAATAAATGTCCTGAGCGCTGCCGTCTCCTCCTTTGGCCATTATTTCAACTTTAGCTTCAAGAAAGTTTTGGTTGTAAACAACAAAGTGCGCATGTGCCGCCGGCAACTTCAGCAGATGATACGGTGGCTGGTAAGGGTCACCGCGCCTACACCGCAGCCACGGTAACCCACCAAGATAATATAGTTTTTTTTTTAAACAAGACGGTTATTATTATTGTCAACTTTTTTTTTACCGGGGTTTACCGCTACACTGGTTACCGTGACAACCCTACCTGATCGGTCTGCTTTGATCTATTTTGAAAACTCCGATCAAAACCGATGGGGGCGCTATCGGCCGATTGGGATCAAATGCAGATTCATCGGTGCATCCCTAGTCATAAATAGATATAAACCTTTTGGGGTTTTCATGTTCATTTAGCATTTTTTTGTACACTTCAACCAGTGACTTTGAGGGTCACAAGGTTTTGAGATTGTAATCTTGTGAGTTCAAAGCTAAAAGTTAAGGGATGCTTTTAATAGTTTTACTTAAATTACAATCTGGAGGTTGTTTTTTTTTTAATCTGAAGGCTTCATCTATGAACTAACAAATATAATGCATCATAAGCCGTTCTCACCACTTCCCTATTTAAGGCACTGGTTTGAGTGTGTGGCAGCTGGGATGAGTGAATCCGAGACCATTGTCTTGAATCAAAAAAGGGTAGAATCCCTTCTCCAGGTTAGGGATGAGGTCCTGCCTCAAGTGGAAGAGTCTTCTTCAGCAGTGAGGGAAAGATGGAGCACAAGATCGATAAGACAGATTGGTGCTGCATCTGCAGTGATGCAGGCGTTGTACCGATCTGGCACAGCGAAAGAGAGCGGAGGCAGAAGGTAAAGCTCTTGATTTACCAGAGATAGAGCGAGAAGCTCGGTCATCTGGGACAGGCTCGGAGTAGACCCGCTGCTCCTCCACATCGAGAGGAGCCAGTTGAGGTGGCTCGGGCATCTGGTCAGGATGCCTCCTGGACGCCTCCCTGGTGAGGGTTTTTGGACACGTCCAACTGGGAGGAGACCTAAAGGAAGACCCAGGACACGCAGGAGAAACAATGTCTCTCAGCTGGCCAGGGAGCACCTTAAGATTCCCCTAGAGGAGCTGGCCCAAGTGGCTGGAGAGAGGGAAGTCTGGGCCTCTATGCATAGGCTGCTGCCCCCACGACTCGACCCCGGATAAGTGGACATGGACATAAAAGGGGAAATCTCCGGATTGTAGTTTTAATTAGAAATGTTAATCTCAGAACCTAGTTGTATATGTGTTTGAATAATGTACAGCCCGAAAAAAACTCTCTTTATAATATATGCCAGCAAATCATCCCGATATAAACATGGATAGTCAAGGATGATCAGATTTTTGTTAATGAAGTGATCACTCTGCTCCCCCACGTTGCCTGCTGGTGGTGGTCGGAGGGACCGGTGGCGCCAGTGCTCGGCAGCCTCGCCTCTGTCAGTGCGCCCCAGGGCAGCTGTGGCTACATTGTAGCTCATCCCCACCAGTGTGTGAATGTGTGTGTGAATGGGTGAATGACTGATTGTGTTGTAAAGCGCCTTGGGGGGTCATAGGACTCTAGAAGGCGCTATATCAAATACAGGCTGTTTACCATTTACAATCATCTGTGATAATTGTCCACCCTGATGTGATGATGAATGGTTCTTCTTGGAAGGAAAAGAAATCCTTACTCAGTGAAATGCTTGGCCCTACTTTAATGCTGATCAATACAAATACTAGAGGACTGAAGCGTGACTAATGCTGTTCACTGGGCTGCAGAAGACCTCAGGAACACAGTAAAAGAGACCTGCCCTGTTTAAAAGCCCAAACAAACCCAGAGATGCAAATCATGTCTCAGCCAGCTCAGTGAATACCATCTAGTGTCCTCAGATAATCAGAAGCTCTGGGTTGAGGGTGTGGACATTTGAAGCCAACAGAGGGTAAATCACAGAGCAACTGCGGTCTGCAGCCACGCGAGTTATCTCATCGCCCCTGGCAGGCAGGCTGGCTGGGTGTGTCTGAACACAGAAATACACCAAGTTGTGTCACAGCCGAGGCTGTAAACAAACCACACACACACACACACACACACACACACACACACACACACACCGAGCTATCACAGCAGCATTTCTAACTCATAAACTTGGCTACAAATCGTGTCCGCGTCAGCGTGAAGTCTTTCAGGCTGTGACTTCCACCAAACACCGTCCTCTCCTCCGCTCTCCCACCGCCTAAAACAAGTCGCTCAGCTCTAAACAGCTACAAGCACGCGGACGGACCAGCTTAACCGACATGTCTCACTCAGCGCGAGCAGGTGCAACGACGCCCACTCCAACACACCCGGACCCGGACCCGGACCCAGACCCAGACCGAACACGAACTTCTCAGTCGGAATGAAACATCTCTTACCACTCTGCTCCCCGAGAAAGACCAGTTTGAATTTTCTTAGGGGGTTTCCGAAGTCGCTACCGACGGACATGTTGTGGAGGAAGAGCGGGGGACTACGGACACCGGAGGACGGTAGGACAGAGATCTTGTTCCCGCCTGACTCTGGTGCTGGTGGATGGAGATGCTCGAAGGGAATGGGCGGCAATGCTGCCTCTCTTTCTCGCTCCGTTTCTTCGTGACGGGCTGTTGCTGCACCGCTCCGTGACGCTGGGGGAAGAGTTCTCGGGTGGGGGCTCTTGCGCATGCGCGGGAACATTTGAACGGCAGCAGCTTCCGCGATACAATGACGTCATCCTACGTCCTGGAGAGGAGAGAGATGTTGGTCGTGATAAACACAAATAATAAAACATTTGCCGCATTTAAACCTTGTTTTTAATGTTTTACACGTTTAAGCACAACGATCTGAGGGTTTAGAGGCTTTTTGTCAATGCTTGTGAGAAAAGCATTGACAGTGCGTGTGGCGGATGGTTTTCATTTAAATGGGAAATTCTTAATTTTTTTTAAATAGCGTGAACAACATTAACAGTTTTTTACATTTTTAATTATTTTTCAAAAATCAGTGTCCCTGTGAACATATTATTTAAAGTTAACATACAGTAGTTACGTTTTCAGATCTAGAAGAAAAGTAATAAAAGCAAACTCTTCTAATTAGGAATACATTATCATAGACGGTTTGTTTAGGTCTGTTGAAATAATTTCCATCTTACGTTTTCATCACACTGTGGTTTACAGTTGATTGTTCATTAACCAAAGGTGACAGATCATTTGCTGCTGTGGCCCCCAGACTCTGAAACTCTCTCCCCCTGAGCCTGAGATCAGTGGACTCAATGGTCTCCTTTAAAAAGCAGCTGGAAACTCACCTGTTCACGCTGGCTTTGGTGTGACCTTCATCACTATGCTCTCCTCATTTAGCTCTTTCTGCCAATTCTGCCTTTCCCGGGATCTACTGATTAACTTTTCCTTAATCATTTTCTCTCTTACCTTTCCTCACATTTTTAATCACAAGTTTTTACATTTCCTAATTTTACATATGTTTTTAAAAAATAAGCATATTTTAATTTTTGTTCTTGTGAAGCGCCTCATGATGTTTGTCTGGAGAGGAGCTATATTAAAGATAATTTCTTCTTGCCTTTAATTCAATTGAAATATGCATCATCATCCTGAAAAGTTCCTGTTCACAATGCCTGTAACTTACCTTCAGACAGGTCTTGTACATAAACATAATTTCCTGTTTTGTTTAGTTTATCTTTGATATGTTCAGCTGCTAAACATAACTGGGTTAGAGTATATGATTTTATTACACCTTGCTAGTAACTGACTCAACACCATACAGTAGGGATTTCTGCTGTCTGTACTCCGTTTTTCAGTCCAACAGCCCCAAGTTTGCAAGTTCAATTCTCCTCTTATCTGCAGCTTGGTCATAAATGCAGCTGATTTGGTGGGGAAACCTGGACATCATCATCTCTAGCTACACTTTCCCATTAACTCTGCAGGATTTTTATTCATTCGCAAGTTAGGAAGTATGTAGTCAATTCAGTAAGGTCTCAACTGCTGGGATGTGCCTGGAAAACATACAATAAAAGCATATTGATGCTCAAACCACAGAGGTTCTTCTCCAGGTAAAGCGGCTTGAAGACTCTCCAAGTTGGAGCCTGGCCACTTCAGCTACTTGTGTCTTGTCCCAAATTGCAAGACCATAGGAGAGGGTTGGAAGGCCAGTGGTCCAGTAAACCAGTAGTGTCACTTGTTGGCTGAGTTTCTTCTACACCACCAGGAGAGCAACACCCTCTGCAGATGAGTAAGACACCAAGGTACACAAGCTTGTATGCTTGAGGCTTCCATCTTTTATGTCACTGACCATGGACTCAAGACTATGAGGAGCAACCAGACCCAATCACTTCCATGTCTGTGCCCTGTGAGCCTGAACACCACAAACTGGATCAGAACCGAGAGGCAGTCTTGGTGGAGTCAGTCGTCTTCAGACAACTCAACTTTTTAACAGATGTTGAAAACTTTCGACCGACACTCATTTGAACTGTCAGGCATATTCATTGATATCATAATCATCATATTCGGGGAAACGGTGGCACAGGAGTTAAGTGCTCGTCCCGTAATCGGAAGGTTGCAGGTTCGAGCCCCACTTAGTCTGTTGCTGTGTCCTTGGGCAAGACACTGACCCCCCTTGCCTGCTGGTGGTGGTCAGAGGGACCGGTGGCACCAGTGTACGGCTGACTTGCCTCTGTCAGTGTGCCCCCGTGCAGCTGTGGCTACAGTGTAGCTCATCACCAACAGGGTGTGGATGTGTGTATGAATGGGTGAATGTGTTGTAAAGCGCCTTGGGGGGTTCCAGGACTCTAGAAGGCGCTATATCAAATACAGGCAGTTTACCTCCCCATGGGGATAGGTCATACGCGGAGATGAATTTCACCAGTGTGTGATGACAAATGGGACTTTATTAATGCGTTCACTTCACAAAGAACACACCTGAAGTTTGTAAAATGTGCACTTAACTTTATTTAAAAATATGAATGACAGTGCGGGTGTTTGGTATTTGAACACTGCAATAAAAAAGTAACATATATGAAACAAGTACTGCTGCGGTTAAAGATGTCTCAGTGTATGAGACGATCATTTAGGATAATAACTTAAATATTAAGCTACACAGTTAACAAGACACAGGTGTTTACAACTCAAACAGAAACCCAAACAAGACGATCCTTACCTAAGATGAATCTGTGAAGTACAAAGATATTTAGGTGTCGTTTAATCATCAGTCTCGTTATTATAAATGCTCGATAAATGCTGTGCTATATCACATTTATGTTATGAATCTTGTGCTCACAAGTGAAGCTGCTTTCACATAGAAGGTAGCGTTTAAATAAACACATTCATGTTTTTGACTGAAGGTGTAAAGGTGGGCGGTAACGTTTTTGTCGGTGCATCTGGGGTCGACATATGAAATATCTCCTGAACCACACGATGGATTTGAATAGAACTAAAATCAATGGCTGTACTTCTACAACAGATGAACTCAACCAAATTAAAGATGGCTGCCACTAAGTTTCACAGGCACCCAGTGACAATAACATGATTGTCTGAGTGCAAACAGCTCATGCAAGAACTTGTATTACTGTCTGAAATTGTGCTAATTTCAAGATGTTACCACATTTCGACACAAGATGATCATTTTTATTTTAACCCTCTGGAGGCAGGCGTTGCAGATGTGCAACAGTTAAAACCTACCTACCTACCTACTCCACGTACGTATTTCATGAGCATTTTTTAACTCCCCTGAAGGACTTAGATGTTCGTCCTTTTATCAAACCTTATTTGGAGCCTGAGAGGGTTAACAACAATGAGGCAGGTGTTCCATTTAACCTCCAGTCTTAGTAGAATTCTCCCTGACAACATGTCAACTGGCTGTCAAATGACCTACTCACTTTGAAGCAACCCTGGGAGCGCTCATTGTACTGACACAAATCGTAACTCCAGAACCTTCATCTGAAATCCATCTCACTTTCCACAAGCAGCTGGAAGAAAAATCCAACATCAAATATGCCAGCAGTTTCAAGCAGAATCCCAACAGAGAGCTCACCATTCGCTGCATCCTATGTGAAAGCAGCAAAAGTCTTGATGTATACAAATGTTCATTTTTTTTTCTTTTTCAGTAGATGTCCTCTCTCCAAAAGGTGAGGTACCAGGCAGGAAATTGGTCCTGCAGAGACTGAGTTCCCCTCACCCATGCATGTTTTTTGGGAATACTGTCCTATAAAACATTTTATACGGCACAGCAAAGCTATGAGAGTCTCACTGGGATCACAGTGATCCCTCTGGCCTCTTTTCCAGATCGTACTCCTTGGTCTTCCTCTCCTTCCGCACCAGGATCATCAGCAGGAGGATGCCTAGGATCTTATAACCCACCTGTAAACCTAAATACCTGCGAGGATGGGGACATAAACAATTAAGAAATGAAAGCAGAGAACAGGATATCCACAACGCCTGTGCGTGTGACGCGTTTTTAGATAGATGAATGCTCCTACCGACTTCTGAAGAGATTGTTGTTGTAGTAACCACAGCTAAACTTCTTTCCACAAACGTGCTTCCACCAAATACAGGAAGTGTCAATGGCCATGCCGAAGAGGGCTGGAGCAGGGAGCCAGGCTGAGAGGGACAAACGAGTGCTTAGGCTAGGTTTTTGGTACTGGATGGTAGAAATCAGCTGATTGACTCCAATTTGGAGCCAGGTCAACTTTTTTGAAAGTTGTGTTCAATTCCACGCTGACAAGCAGAAAAGGAACTCAACAAACCAAGAAGTCTACATGAGAAAGAGAACCATGGAAATACACAAAATGTCTCACTACTTTAAGAGAATGGAACAAAACACAATAAAAGAATGTTTTGGGATTTTAGTCCAGCACTAGATATCCAAACTGAAATGATAATATACTCAAGACATTTATCTAATACTGAACTGGTGCTGGTCTGGGTGCTTTTTTAGTTGTTCAATTTCTAAAGCTTTTGCCAATCAAATGAATTTTTCAATAAAAATGTTGAAATTTTGCTCTTTGCTGACAAATTAGCAATTTTTGGTCCAGATAAATGTACACTGAGCATTTTAAAAGGGACCTACCTAAAACTCTCATGAGTAAAAACTGAATTCCTATAGCAAATGACTTCTCTTCGAAGGGAACAGACCTACAGAGGAGAGAAGAAATGTTAGATGGGACAAAAACGTCAAATAAAAAAATAAATCAAAAGCAAGTTTTTAAAACTCTTGCTCATAGTGGGACAGAGGCGGTTACGGATGTGATTAAAAACACAACAGAGCAAAAGATGGCTGGACACACACACACACACACACACACACACACACACATGTGCACACACACACACACCCACCCACACACACATGCACACACACACACACTCACACACCCACACACACACACATGCATGCACACAAAACTACACCCACCCACACACACATGCACACACACACACACTCACGCACCCACCCACACACGCATGCACACACACTCACGCACCCACCCACACACGCATGCACACACACTCACGCACCCACACACACATATGCATGCGCACAAAACTACACACACATGCACACACACACACGCATGCGCACACACGCATGCGCACACAACCACACACACATGCACACACACTCACCCACCCACCCACACACATGCATGCGCACACACGCATGCGCACACAACCACACACACATGCACACACACTCACCCACCCACCCACACACATGCATGCGCACACACGCATGCGCACACAACCACACACACATGCACACACACTCACGCACTCACCCACCCACACACACACACACACACACGCATGCGCACACAACCACACCCACATGCACACACACTCACGCACTCACCCACCCACACACACACACACACACACACACACACACACATGCATGCGCACAAAACTACACACACACACACACACACACACACACACACACACACACACACGCACACACGCATGCGCACACAACCACACACACACTCACGCACTCACCCACCCACACACACACACACACACACACACATGCATGCGCACACAACCACACACACATGCACACACACTCACGCACTCACCCACCCACACACACACACACAACCACACACACATGCACACACACTCACGCACTCACCCACCCACCCACACACACACACACACACAAACACATGCATGCGCACAAAACTACACACACACACACACACACACACATGCATGCGCACAAAACTACACACACACACACACACATGCATGCACACAAAACTACACACACACACACACACACACATGCATGCGCACAAAACTACACACACACACACACACACACACCACTTTTTTAGGAACATCTGCTAAAAAGTATTTGACTCAAATGTCTAATCAATCAAATGCTTGGCAGCCATTTAGGTGTCTGGATGTGATGAAGACATCTTTCTGAAGGTCAGACACAGATCAGAATGGAGAAGGAAGAGGACTTTAGTGATTTCATGGTTGTTTGATTCAGGTGGGCTGGTCGGAGTATTTTAGTTACTGCTGAGCCACCTGGGATTTTCACCCACAGCCGTTTCTAGAGTTCCCAGAGCATTGTCTGAAATCAGTGAGCAACAGTTGTTTACGTGAAAACATCGTGTTGAGGTCAGAGGAGAATGGTCAGACTGGTTCTAGATGATAGAAAGTCAACAGCAGCTCCAATAACCACCGGTTCCTACCAAGGTCTACAGAACAGCATCTCTGATCCACAGCAGGTTGAAGCGTGAAGCAGATGGACTCCAGCAGCAGAAGACCACACCAGGTGTCTCTCCCGTCAGCTAAGAACAGGAACCTGAGGCTACAACTCACACAGGATCACCAGAACTGGAACAGAAGAGACTGGAAAATGTTTCCTGGTCTGATGAGTCTGGATCTCAGCTGCAACATTCAGATGGTCGGGTCAGAATCTGGTGTCACCAACATGAAAGCATGGATCCATCCTGCCTTGTATCGATGCTTCAGGCTGCCGCTGGTGGTGTAATGGTGTGGAGGAGATGTTCTGGTCCCACTTTGGACCTGAGCCTGGAACCACAGCCTACCTGAGTATTGTTGCTGACCATGTCCATCCCTTTATGACCACATGGACCCATCTTCTGATGTCTACTTCCAGCAGGATAAAGCACCATGTCACAAAGCTCAGATCATCTCTAACTGGTCTAGAACATAATCAGTTCACTAGACTCCAACCACCTTCACTATCACCAGATGTCCATCCAGTCCAGAACCTTTGGGATGTGGTGGAATGGGAGATTCCCATCACGGATGTAACTGTGTGATGATGTCACGTTAATATGGACCAGAACCTCTGAGGAACGTTTCTGACACTTTGTTTAATTTGAAGAGTTAAGGCAGCTCTGAAGGTCAAAAGAGGTACTAGCCAGGTGTTCCTAATAAAGTGGCAGGCGAGTGGAGCATAACGTCATGTGTGTTTCCAAAGTGGAACCAGCAGAGTGTAGCATACAAACCATGACAGATCAACACATTTAAACATATTTAAAACACATAAAAGAAATGAACACGCTTCTGTAGCTACGTACCGGAGCACCATCATATACAATGGGTTGTGAGTGAGGCAGGCGATTAGTGATGCTAAAGAGAGGACGAGGATGACCGGGAGGAGGAAATGAGGACAGCTGTTCACACAAGGGGATGGATGGGCGTGGTTCTGCCCGTCTAACAAACACCTGCAGTTTGTATAAAGCTGTAAAACAGAAAAAAAGACATTTTAGCAACAGATTTTTACCTGTTCTTCATCTTACCTCGAGACTAAAATGGATGATTATTTTAAAGTGTGGAAGCCTGCCTAACAACTCTGGAACAAGGAGGTCAGAATTTGTTATCTTCTCACTGTGGACGTATTGTTTGTGTTAAAGACTTTGATGGAATCCTGTCTGGGAGAACTGGGCGAGCAGACAGGGAATCACCATCGACGAGAGTTCGGCTGGACCCTGCGTGATCAGTGGATGTGGGACTTTTGGCACGGTCGAGTCCGCGCCATCAACCCAGCGCCGATTGTCACCTTCCCGCTGAATGTTGTTCGACCAAGGGAATTTCAGAAGCAGGGGTTGCATGGGATTGCACCGTATGTGGGGGAGGGGGGGGGGGGGGGGGTTGAGATATTGTGATCTAGTATAATTAAGTGTGTAAACCTTAATTATACTTTTTAGAGGGGAAGTGTTATGGCTCAGAGCCATTTGGGTTTTTCCCTCTGTCTGTCTGTCTGTCTGTCTGTCTGTCTGTCTGTCTGTCTGTCTGTCTGTGAGAGAGAGAGAGAGAGAGAGAGAGAGAGAGAGAGAGAGAGAGAGAGAGAGAGAGAGAGAGAGAGAGAGAGAGAGAGAGAGAGAGAGAGAGAGAGAGGAGATGCAGCACCTGGCTCCAGTCTGCCTCCCGGTTAGATTCTCTCAGCTGATCCTGATGACCAGCAGCAGGTTCACTCTGGTCTGTTGTCTCCTCAGCAGCTTTTGGTTTTGTTAAGTTTTATGTAACAACTTTGGTGGGAGCTTAAAACTCTCTGTGTTTAACCGTTCGCCCTTTTTTAGGGGTAAAGGACACTTTACCCCTTCGTTTGTTTTAATTAAGACATCACTCGGAAATTAGAAAAATAATGTGATGATCTTTCGTGGTTTTTGTGTTAATTTGGTTAATATTAGGGATGCACCGATAGATCGGCATTTGATCGTAATCGGCCGATAGCGCCCCTATCGGTTTTGATCGGAGTTTTCAAAATAGATCAAAGCAGACCGATCAGGTAGGGTTGTCACGGTAACCGGTGTTGGGTAAACCCCAGTAAAAAAAAGAAGTTGACAATAATAATAACCGTCTTGTTTTTAAAAAAAACTATAATATCTCGGTGGGTTACCGTGGCTGCGGTGTAGGCGCGGTGACCCTTACCAGCCACCGTATCATCTGCTGAAGTTGCCGGTGGCACATGCGCACTTTGTTGTTTACAACCAAAACTTTCTTGAAGCTAAAGTTGAAATAATGGCCAAAGGAGGAGACGGCAGCGCTCAGGACATTTATTATCCCTCAAAGAAGACAAAGTGGGAAGTACGGGCATCTTTTGGATATTTGAAGAATGCCGAGGGACAGCTGATAGAAGACGGCTATCCTGTTTGCAGCACATGCAGAAAAAGTGTCTGTGAAAGGCAGCAACGCTTCAAATCTCATGACACATCTGCGTGACCATCACCCACAACTCTACAGTCAACGCAAGGCAAGCTAACGTTAGCGTTTTAGCTAAAATGCGTGATCCGAGGATTTGGGTTGAGGGAGAATGCAACGAGTCGCTATATAAAGCAGCCGCAACGCCGCTACCTGCATATAAACCGTGTCGCGGACACCGCCATGTTGAAATGACGCTATGCATTACGGGGCTCCCAGGGGCAGATAAGAGTTGGTCTCTCTCCGAGAATAATTATGAATTTAACAATGATTACTGCCTGATGACATTTTCCCACATCTGCAAAGCTCACTGGAAGGACACAAACCGAGGACAATATTTTCCTGATATAGGGTTTATTACTCAAGTAAGGGTAAAAAAGTATCTGATTAGAAGGCTACATGAGTACTGAGTATCATCTGATCTAATATTTTTAAAATGATGACATCAAACAGACAAAAAATAAGAAGTTATGGGCAAATATTGGTATTTTAAAGACTAAAGGGAAAAATGTAAACAAATAAACAACATAATTACAAAATAACACATTTTAGGCTAAATTTAGACACAAACTGAGGACAATATTTCCTGACATACAGGGTTTATTTAGTTGTGTGAAAATGTAGCACGTTTATAAAAAATATTGCGATAATACCGAAAACCGTGGTGATTTTGGTCACAATAACCGTGAGGTTAAATTTTCACACCGTGACAACCTTAATACAGACCATTTTAGATTAAGTTACATTTCCTTTATTCCCAGATTATGTAGTTTGTAGCACTCATTATAATGTTGTAGAAAATTTCTGGCCAATCCACGTGATCGGTATCGGTGATCAGCATTCTTTGATATCGGTGTCTGTGATCGGCAGCAAAAAACCTGATCGGTGCATCCCTAGTTAATATGAGAGTTTAGTTGTTACTCGTTTAGCATTGCTGCTGATGTGTCTTGTTAATCTGTGTTTTGAGTTTATATTTATGTAAATAAATGTTGTTTTGTTACTTTTAACACGATAACATGCGTCCTCATTGTTACCCCAGGCCCCCTAGACAGCCTGGATCGTAACATAAAGTCATGTGTCAACACTGTGTAGGCTGGTAGATGGTGGTGTGTGTGTTCCTCAGAATGTTAAAGGATTGAAAATGAGATGATAGATACGCGTTTGAGACATGGATTAAATGGATTTCTCCCTGAAATCAGTAAAAAAAATAAAAACAAAAGATTCACACCAACATTCTGACAAGTCCAGACTCATCATGCTTATATCCCACCTCCATTTGTGCTTTACAGGGAGAACGAGCATTAATCCATTAAGCTAGCTGCAGTCTGTCTGTTTCAGCAGAGTGAGCACGCAATTAGACTGAATCTCTGCTAAAATCCAACAACACAAAGGTTTTTTTTACACGTTGCCCCATTTACACTCTGTACAGTAGTTTGGGTTCCTTCCAGGAGTCAGATGCATTGATTAGGTATTGATTAGGTATTGGCTGTGAGCTGTTTGAGTCCTGCCAGCATCAGAGAACTCTGCGACCTCCGATAAACTGAAAGATGCTGAGTAGCAAGACATTTATCAGTCTTACAAAACATATTACCGCTCCAGTGTTCACACTTTCATGAGTTTTCATTCATTTTAAGTGTGTAAAAATGATTATATTAGCGTCACCTTTTAAGTGCACAATCCAATGCACGTGCTTTTTCATTTTCTTAGTTGTTCTATCACAAATCTTATTTAGAAGTTTTCTTATATCAGCATCATTTGACAAATTTCCCCACAAATGTCAAAGAAAGGTACAGAAAAAGCAAAATATGTCATCATTTAACAGTCTGTAGGATGAAAGTATTGGGTTGTTGTGTGACGGGGTGAGTACTCTCTCTTCTCTACAACATCTTTGTAAGATCTTCATTCCAGGAGAGGGCACTCACCAGCTGCGGAGCATTACCGATCAGCTGCAGATCCTCTAATCAACCGCAGCAGAGCTCTATTTAAGAGGAGAGGGAACCACTTCACATCGCTGGATGATTAACTACTCACGGATACTTGGAATCACTGAACCACTGATGGATGTTCCTACCTGGAAGTCACCATAACCCGCCTGGATTACACTCAAGGTTCGCCTCTCCTCCAGCTCCACTTGCCCTCTGCCGCCATCATCTGGCTCCCTCTCCTGGACACACCCCGTCACACCGTCTGCCCTCCCTGCTGGCTTTTGGACTCTTGCCGACTACTTCGAACTTCGATATCTCCAGGACACTTTTAGTTAGGTTTAATAAATCATTGTTTGAACTTTCTGCCTTTGTCCTGTGATGGTTCTTCATGTCGTGGGTTAAACACCTTCCCAGGGACATGACATGGGTTTTTAAACAAATGCATAAGATTTAGTGACATCTAGCTGCGAAGCTGCAGAATGCAAAGAGCTGAACAGTCTCTGTGACCTGCCTCAAGTCGACACTCCTAACAGCTCCTGCTGTTCTAATACCCGTGTCTGTTTCCTCCATATAAACAAACGCATGTTTGCATCCAAAGGGATCAGAGCACTGACCTGAACCCGGTGAGTGTTGTTGGGGTCTTTAGTGAAGTTGGTGCAGCCGGCGTGGCAGGGAGAGACGTACTCCACACCGTCAGAACCACACACAGGGTTGAAAGCGCCGGCAGGGCAGGAGCAGTTCAAGTAGCACTTGGATAAAGGCCTGCAGAGGACAACAGGTCCGACATGAAACTGGGACTGGCAGTCAGAACTGAATGCTTTATTGTAGGGATGCAAACAATTAATCGATTATCAATTAATCGTCGATAAGAAATTACTGAAGTAAAATGATTTAATTGCAATTAATTGAATTTTGAATCCGTAATTCCCCACCAGTCCTCGCGGGGTGTGCTTGACGCCAGACGTGGTTGACGCACACGCAGAAACACAAGCAAAGCTGGGCTCTGACGACAACAGACAAAGGAGAAACGATCGATACACTGAGGATGAAGACGTCAAAACGGAGTGGTCAACGACAACGACCCCAAATGCACAATATGTGGAAGTATTTTGAAGTACAACAATTCCACAACTTCATTGAATTACCACCTAAATATGCCACATTCAGCCGTGCTACAAACAGCGAGAGGTTCTTAGCCTACATTCACCACAGCATTGGGAAGAAGGGTGTGTGACTCCATGAAAGCAGAGAGCATTACCCAGCTAATATGTAACATGGTTACTACAGACATGCTGCTGATAAATGTTGTTGATGGACAGGGATTTCAAGAAGTGATAAAGTACATTGAGCTGGGGTACGATATTCCCTCTAGAACAACCATAACAATTAATCTTTGATTAGGGAATATGGTTTGCATTTTGTCTTTACATGATACAGAAAATAGCATTTTATGTTACGTATACAGTAGATGGAACTGATTCAGAGTTCAAAGTTCAACTTTTCAGAAAAATTGCCGCTTATCAATTAAGCGATCATCGATCGATAAGATGAAACGACTATTGATTAATGAATTACTCGATAATTCGCATCCCTACTTTATTGTTGGGAAGTTATTGAGCTTAATAAAACACTACAGTCACACAATGTGAGCAAACAGCAAATTTAGGGCTGATCAGTCAGTAAAATGATTCAATGAGAGCACAGATTGGTTTAATGGTGACAGCTCTGGAAAAAGAAACTACCCAACCTATTTAGTTCCTGACTAACATGAGCTCACGCTTACACATGTACAATGCTCATCCACTAAAAAGCTCCCACCTAAACAAAAGCTCATGCTCTCTAATATTTTGTTGGACCACTTTTAGCTTTGATTACAGCACACATTCTCTGTTGCTTTGTTTCAATAAGCTTCTGCAACGTCACGAGATTTATTTCCATCCAGTGATGCATTCATGTTTCACCAAGATCTTGCATTGACGATGGTAGAGTCTGACTGCTGAAAGATAATCTCCCACGCGGTAATTATCCAATAGGAGGCACCTACCTATTTGCTATCCAGGTGGTGACTTTCTGTTTGGACGGGCAGTGTGTAAAGTCAGAGGAAATAGACATCATGTCTCTTTCCTGCATAATAAATTCATACAGCGGAAAGTCCCTTTATACTTATTCACAGATAACATGCAATAGTGTTTTGTGGTTTCTGTCACACCATTTGGTCAAAGGTGACAGATCATCTGCTGCTGTGGCCTCCAGACTCTGGAACTCTCTCCCCCTGAGCCTGAGGCCTAGTCCACACGTAGCCGTTTTTTTTTTAAAACGAATATCCGCCCCTCCAAAAACTTGCATCCACACCACCTCGTTTAAATAAAACTCTGTCCACACGTACCCGGATAAATACGTTGTTAAGGACATGCCAGACCTGTAGGCGGCAGTACTTCCCCCTTTCTTAACCTCGTCCTTCGTCTGTGGTCTTCCGCAAGGAGCAGTAATTCCGCTTGCAAAAACAAACAAGCAGAAAGCGCTCGGACAATTGATAAAGCGAGCGCAGCTCTGAGGGCATCCATGCTGTCGGCTAGTGTAAACACAGGTCGCACACGTGATGTCAGCATTTTTTTGTGGCGGAAAGTGACGTTGCGGACCTTAAAACTCCGGTTTTGTCCGTCCACACGCAGACACCCAAAACGGAGAAAACGCAGATCTTCACTTTGGCCGGAGTTTTTAAAAAGATCAGTTTTCGTGTGAAAAAACTCCGTTTTCATGTGGATGACAGGCCAAAACGTAGAAAAATATCTACGTTTTGGCAGATCCCCGGCTACGTGTGGACAGGGACTGAGATCAGTGGACTCAGTAGTCTCCTTTAAAAAGCAACTGAAAACTCACTTGTTCAAGCCGGCTTTTGAGTAACCTTCATCACCCTTTCCTTATTCTGCTCTTTTTTAATCTTTCCCGGGATCCACTGATTTCCCTCCTTCCTACTCAAGTTCTCTCTCCTTTTCTTTACATTTTTGTATGACAATTTTAATTATTTCTCATTTTAAACATATTTAAAAAATATATTTTCTATATTTTAATTTTTGTGAAGTGCCTCGCGATTTTTATCTTGATACTGTATAAAAAATAAAGCCTCTACAACACGAGACTCTTCTGCCTAACAAATTCTGAGTTTAGCTAAGTTTCCATCCGAGCCTTTTGCAGTATGTGTGTGAAACTTCTGCAGCAGTCAGACACTAACTGTCCAAAACAACAACACATAAAAAAAGTAGCAGAGATGTCAATTATTATGAATGCATAGTTCTCACAGCATCTCATCAATTCACTCCCAGAATAAGCAAAAGCAGTTCTCAGTAAAATGCGTTTAAAATCAAATGCAACTGACAGACTGCTATTATATATGTGTAAAATATAAAAACTCAGTATTGCATGTTGTCAAACTTCATGTAATCATCAGTATTTTCTCTATTTATTTATGGATCTGCTGAGGGAAACATATCGGGGGCTTACATATTTCAATCAAATGAAGTAAAGACCGAAGATCAGCATCAACTACGGCCCACCCATTTTCAATGCTCAATAAAAAAATACCTTTAAGCAGAAAATGATTTTAATTAAATGATTTGTAACTGTTTCTGTGAAACATCCATTATAGGATTCAGGCAGGTGGGAGTGGGCGCATCGGTGGGAATGATGTAGATATATTATCTGTAGGTGTCTCGGTGCTCTTCAGGATCATGAAAACATCAAAGGTACATATGGAAATAAAAGCTGATGATCTGAGGCCCTCCGAAAGTAATTATTAACGTAATAATTTACTTTTGGAGTGCCCCCGGGGGTGCGCGAGCTGCCACTAGGGGGTGCACAAGGTGAAAAGTGTAACGGCTGTGGACCTCAGAGAAGTCTGTCAAAAGTCACCATTAGCGTAGCCAGAATCTCATTTGTGGGTGGGCCCAAGAAAATGTAATTGAAAACAAGTATATTTTGCTTGTGTGTGTGTGTGTGTGTGTGTGTGTGTGTGTGTGTGTGTGTGTGTGTGTGTGTGTGTGTGTGTGTGTGTGTGTGTGTGTGTGTGTGTGTGTGTGTGTGTGTGTGTTCTCCGCACATGCCCTACCTCAGGGGTCGGCAATCCGCGGCTCTGGAGCCGCATGCGGCTCTCTGTGCTTGTAAAATAATGAAAGGATATTTAAATAAAATGCTTTATATTTTACTGCATAAATTTTACATATTTAAACTAATTCTAAATGTAAAGATTGTCTGCGTAAACCTGAACAGGTCCAACCCGGTCTGTGTGACCGGGTTGACGCGTCACGCTTGTGCGTAATTATAGGTGCTTTCTGAGCTGAAGAGAATGTGAGATTCTGGGACTCTCCTCAGACGCCACATTGGAAACAGGAACAAGCACTATTCAGCCAAAGTTTCATCATCAGGGAACATTTTCTAAGTGACAAGTCTCTCTGAGAGACCGGGTTTGGAAAACTCTCGCTTCAGTCGGAGGAATCTTCCTGCATGCGCTCTGGTTCTGCGACGCGCTCCAAGCCCCTCTCCACATCTTCAGCTCGCTGTGGACCTTATGTACGTGCTGACAGCGAGCTGCGCTGAGCAGTGTCCCGCTCAGATGTTCAGATGGGAATCTTTTCTTGAGTGATTTAGCTACATCTGCGATGTGCGTAGAATAAAATGTCAGTTCGTCTGCATGCGTCGGGGTAATTGTTTCTATTCTTTCTCCGTCAAAATAAACGGCCAAATACGGGAATTGTCCAGTCAATACTAGCCCTGCTTTTAACTGTTTTGTTTTCTTGTGAAAATTGTTGCAAAGAGATATAATTTAACTTGATTACCACCAGAGCCAGGCGCACTGCGCCGTTATCTCCGTCACTGTAAATGAGGGAAAAACAAAATGATCGGATCCTTTTCTGACCTTCCCCACCTACAAAGTTTAATTACAACAATCAAACGTGACAGAGCCTGGATTTGTATTCTGAACAGTCTAAACATGTTTTAAAAAGAAACGTATGACAAAAGTGGCACCTGCTCAGTAAAACCACCAACAGGGTGAAAAATATCAAAATATTGTAGCAGAGACGGGCTACAACTTCTGGATCCACTTCATATAAATCGTTTTATTGATTATCTTCTTATGAAAGATAGCTTTGACGTACACGAGCGACCGGTACCGGCTACTGTCACCTGTTGTGAGCAGCGCTCTGCTGTCTGAGGGTAGGCCCCGCCCACAACGCCGCGGCTGCTGCGGTGTTTTCTTTACTGTGGGAAACGGGTAATAATGGCTCTTTGATGGGAACAGGTTGCTGACCCCTGGTTTAGCGTGACGTCTGATATATATATATATATATATATATATATATATATATATATATATATATATACACACATATATATATATATATATATATGTGTGTATATATATATATATATGTGTGTATATATATATACATATATATGTATATATATATATATATATGTATATATATATATATATATACATATATATATATATATATATATATATATATATATATATATATATATACATATATATATATATATATATATGTATATATATATACAGTATATATATAGCCATGCCCTGATGTAGGGGCTGGGGGGTGCGTCAACATGGTCGGGACATAGAAGGGGGTGCGCGGCTAAATAAGTTTGGGAACCACTGCTTTATAGGATTTTAAAATGATTATAAGTGGTGAAAAACTGACACGATCTTTATTAAATATTGTCAAATGATCACCCAGTAATTTAGTAAAAATGCTACATTTTTCTAAATATTTTAAAAGTGAAACGTGCCAACTTTCAGTGTTGAAGCAGAAGAACATAACAGGAAATAACTCCTCTCAGATTAAATGAAGTCGATGCTCCCCACTCACTGGTGCAGTCCGACTGGGTGATTGACCTCCGAGACGCTCTGCGTGGGACATCCCATGAAGAAGAGCGGTATGCAGAGGAGAGTGGAAACGGTGAGCATGACCACACAGAAGCGTGGAATGGTCTTCAAAGAGAGGCCCATCCTCTTCATGATGATGCCACCGATCAGCATCCCCACGGCCACCGCTGGCAGATTCACAGCACCTGAAACCAGAAAAAGAAAGATGTTTTCTCACTGACTGTTAACAAAAGACTCCACATTTTAAAGACAGGGTAAGCAGTCAGAGAGACGACGACGACTGTGAACATCAGTCTCTGTGGGCCTCCCATTCACGAGTTTGTTAAAAATAAGATTCAAACATGGTTCCAGAAATACCAGCCAGGAGTTACTTAAGTCCTGTAAACTACTTTTGTAACTAGAGAGTGATGGCGATGGACCTCCATTTGAGACACCCCACGGACTCACCAACATAGTCCATTATTTTAATATTTGTTAATTTTATCAGTGGAAAAGAAACAGATGAGCACATTTTTAATATTTAACCTGACTTTGTTCTGCTCTGAACAGACTTGGCCTCTTTTCCAACAATAGAATGCTGATGTCAAACTTTATTCCCAAAAACAGGCTATAAAAAAATCAACATGATAATGATAATGAGAAGGAAAAAAGATAACGAGGTTCATCCTGAATATTTGTTGCTACTTGTACTTTTTAAAATTCAAGGTTCCAAAAAATAACCTCAGAGTCATTTTTAAACAAATAAATATCCTTTGCATTGATGTTTTAATTGAAAGTAAAAACTATCTGTCCTGTTCGAGTCACTTGTGATGGACACAGTCACAGACGTCTCTCCTCTGTTGTTCTGCTGCCAACTTAAACAAAGTTAACCAGCTTAAGTTTGATCAAAGCTGGTGTGTGTGTGTGTGTGTGTGTGTGTGTGTGTGTGTGTGTGTGTGTGTGTGTGTGTGTGTGTGTGTGTGTGTGTGTGTGTGTGTGTATTATGGTGTTACATCACCTAAAGCAGTGGTTCCCAACCTTTTTCCCAAGGGACCCCGTTTTTTTTACCAGTAAAATTTTTGACGACCCCCTCCCATTCTCTCTTCCAGTACAAACATTATTAAGAAATGATAAAATTGTTCAAGCACATTTTATTATGCTTTGATTCAATAGATAACAGTAATAGTAGGCTCCAGTACAGAACAAAGTCATTAACAAAACCAAACACAGTTTGTATTACTTTTCTGAACACATTGTTTCTTGTAAACACCGATAAATCAATCATTCCTTTCAATAAACGTTCGACACATAAAAAATACACTGGGCAAAATGTACTTAAATGTGTAAATTACTGATTATACTAGATTATTTACTGTAAACGCTGTGATTAATCAACCAGTCCTATCTTTAATGAACTTTTGACACTTGAAAATAAAACAGTGAGCTGAGCAAAATGTTCTTAAAAGTGTGTTACTTGTTCTGTACTAATTATTTCCTGTCTTACTATCAGTAAACTTTTCACTCATGAAAAAAGTGAGCAAAATGTAGGCTATAAACAAGTAATAAATGAAGTTTTAACCCCTTAAAGTGGAGAAGTCCTGGCGACCCACTGAGAGGCTTTGGCACCCCCTTGTGGGGGTCAGGACCCCCAGGTTAGGAACCACTGATCTAAATGACACATATATTTTATTTAACAGCAGAACAACTCATTCAGCACAACCAGCTACAAAGCCTTTAATCAGCTCGTGCTTCTCCTCTGCTGATGTGTTTTCGTGAGAGGGAGGGGTTTGGTAATCACTCATGTAACTCAGTGCTGACTGGGACGGGAAGAGGAAATATGCTGAGCTCCACATGTACACACTGTTTGACCCATCTGAACACGTAAGATTTCCGCATAACTCTTTCTCCTCAGCTCACCATCTGGTCCTGTATTTCACTAAAATCACTGTGTATGTCATGGTCTGCGTCTGCCCCCTCCTTTATGTGTCTCCTGATGTGTCTCCATCCTCTCTAGATTCCCTTTTGTGTCTCATAGCGCCCTCATGTGTCCTTTGTCTGCGTCTCAATTATGTGTTTTCTGTTTGTAGGCATTCGATCATCCCCATCCCCTCCAGTTGTAGCTCCAGCCTCTTTGTCCCCAGCTCTGTGTCTGTGTGTGTGTGTGCGTGTCCATTACCCAATTCAGTGTGTGTGAGTGTATTTAGGTGTGATTGTGTGTGTGTGACTCCTTCCCTCAGTCTTTTAGTTCAGTTTTGTGTTTATCTGCCCTCCTTTGGTTCTGCTTCCCCATTTAGATGATTGGTGTCACCTGTCTTCCCTCCAGCCCTCACTCCACACACCTGCTTCCTGTTCCCCTAATGGTTCCTCCCAGTCTATTTAAGCCCTGTCTTGTCTCTGTGTTGTTGTCGGTCCATTATTGTTTGTCAGCGTTGTTTCGTGCTCTGGTGAGCTTATGTCTCCAGGTTTTGTTGCTCTAAGTGAGCTTTCGTACTCCTGTTGTTCAGGACTTGGTTTTTGGCTTCCTCCCCTTTTTGGATTTTTGGTTCATCACCTAATAAAAGGATTTTACTTTTAAGACCACTCCTGCCTCGTGTCATCCTGGGTACTGCATTATGGGTCCAAACCATCCTCTCAACGTGACGGTGTATACAACTTGTTCATTATTAGGAACACACCGTGAGTGTTTTTTTTTTTTTGGCATTAAAACCTTCTGATCAGTCATTAAGCTCTGATCAGACACTTGGGGAAAATACAGGTTACACAGCAGAACTAGTTACAACAAACAGATTTTCACATTTTCAGGCTTAACCAAATGTTTATTCAAGCCCCGCCTCCAAAATGGCAGAAAATCTGTAGTGCTGAAGTCAGAGATGAGCAAAGACTACCTACAGTATCCACCTACCTACTAGCAGACTGCTGTAGGCAACTGAAGCGCCGTACTGTCGCTCCAGAAACTTATTCAGGAATGTTGCCAGACCCGCTACCACCGAGGAGAAGCAGCACTGGGCCAGGATCAGCAGCAGGAAACGAGTGTTCAACAGCAGTTGGATAAACATTCTAGGAAACACTGAACATAGCGCGCACGCGTGCACACACACACACACACACAGATTAGTACAAAGCTACTGGATGGTGGGGTTGTCGGTCTGAGTGGGAGAACATACTTTTTAGTAAATCAAGTAAGCAGACTTCTGGCTTCTTGAAGTCATCAGTAGAGTCAGTCTCACTCTCTGTTATCTGGAAAACAAACAAAACATGTTTAATGAGACACAACAACAATAATTCACCTTATAATCTGTTCTAATTGGTATTTTACTTGATTCATCAAGGAGAGAGCAGCTTGCCGTAAGCTGATCGTGTTCCGGCTAGCTTAAATGCTATAAACCCTTTTAATAGTAGCAAACATACACTACCAATATCTGTTTGTTTCAGCAGACGGATGTTCCTGGGAGTCTCAGCTACACCTCTTCACACATCTGTGAAAGGGTTACTGTTGAGACTGAAAAATGTGTTGTTCTGGAGTTTGTCCTACATGACTTTATCTGGCAAAGTGGTGGAGTCAACTACACTTTCCTTGTAGTGAGCTATCAGACATTTCTGACAGCTCTCCTTGACCTTTTGTCTTCTGTTCCTTCTCCATTAATATTTTCCTATTTTAACCTTCATAGACTTTCCACACAAAGTCATTGGATTGGCAGTCCAGGTTTCCTTTGTTATTAATGCAGCAAGTTCACTGAAAGTGCCTCAAAAGATCACTATTGGGCAAAATCCAGTCATTTCAGGACATATAAAATTTGAATGCTGAGGCGAGGCATGTTTCATGTTTGTTAGAAATGCTTAAAAAAATCGACTGGTAGTCATCATCGTCCAGGCTTCAGCACCGGCGCCTTATTTCTTTATCGCCAGTCTCAAAACTCAAAAGTTTGTCCGTATAGGAACCCTTACAATGAAATTGTCCTTGTTCCTGAACTCAGCATCACCAAGTCCTAATTCTCTCTAGCAACATCTTTCCTTACATGTAACTGACCAGCTTGTAAGTGTGTTTTAATATTAGTCATAACGGTGGTACTTTGGGACATGTTTGATGTGTTCTTTGGTAAAATTAACGTGCAAAGCCCAAATACAGCCAGTAGAGGGCAGTGCTACATGAAACATGCCGCACTGCAGCCAACACAACCGGTTTGCTGTAAAACACCGTCCGGATGTTGTTTTTCAAACGGAGAGCTCAGACGTTTCACTGTTGCACTTTACCTCCAGACACGATCACTGTAGGTCAACTCTCGTCACATGGCTGGTTCTAAGAACTGGACTTACCTCTGAATGCATTTGACGAGGGAAGAAGAAATAAGGGATGGAGGTGAGAACCAGGCAGCCCGTGGCAATGAGCAAACCCATCCACCAGGCCCCCACCCAGCGGGGATCTCCATGCTGCAGCTCCTGTTCTGCTCCTGGAAGAAACAGCACCGACTTCAGTGTCCAAATGTGGCCTTCTACCTAGATTTAACAGTCCAATATTCTAACTGTGGAAGGACATCAAGTCTTGATCCTTACCCAAACCATTTCTGTCCACATCCACATAGATGCGCAGCATGACGGAGCCCAGCAGGTAGCCAATAGAAGGCCCAATTACAGACACTGCAAACAGGATAGCTGTGAATGAGAGAAAAGGGTTCAGAAAATACTTACTTGGTGTATTTAAAACAATTCTATGTAGGATTTAAGAAAAATAAGATAATTGCCAAATAAATGAATGCTTTTAATGTGCTTAAAACCTGCAATAAATAAGACGAAACGTGAAGCAACAAAAATAATCTAAGCCCAGCTTTAAAACTGTAAAAGCAACAAATAAGAAGGTGTGGACCTGATTTCTGTGGCACTGTCATAAAATTTTTTTTACAAGGTGTAGATATTGAACAGAACAAGCCCCATTCAGAGAAACAGAGATTAGTTCTGAGCAGATTAATGAGGCATCTGTAAAGTAGATCACTGCTAGTTTCTTATTAAAGCCTAATGCTGTGGTAGCTCTCAGACATCTAAACCCCATCCCCCGGAGATAAACAACAAACAACATAGCTGCCTTGTGAGTAAATGCATAATCTGGCAACCTAGTTTAAAAACAGGAGGTTAATGTGTAAAATGGTAACTAAAGCAGGCAATTCAAGCCTTTCTACTGGTAAAAAGTCACCATAGTCTGCTTATAATTTAAAATGGAGCCCAGTTTGACCAGGAGTCTTTGTAAAAAGGATTTATAATAAATATAAGTACTGTACTTACACAGCAGTGCAGGCACCAAAGCAAAGCTGTCAGCATGGCAACATGAGGTATTAATCAACAAGAGTCCATCCTGCAACACTTTTATTGAATAAAAACATTTTTAAAAAGTGAAGTCAGCTCTGACAGCCTCTAACAGCGATAGCATGCTAATTCATCGCTCGTGTGCAGGTGGAAGTCAAGCTCTGCTGGACAGGAGGCAGTGAGCATGATGAATACATCTACATGGCAACTAAAACCAGTCTGACTAGACACTAACTAACTAGAGACATGATTCTGGTCAGAACTAATCTCTGTCTTCAAACTGATGTTGCTCAAAGAGCTTTCCATACCAGAAAAATAAGTAATTGTTCATAATTTTACCACAGAAATCCAAAATATATTAATCCAAACAAGGTAACAAAAAGAATCCTGCTTCTCCAACTGCAGACCTAGAACATCACCAGGCATGACCCTTAACTCGTTTTCCCTTTATGTGTACATAACAACCCCGTGCACCGCTAAACCCTAGTGCATTCACCTATGTATAGAGGGGAGTTGCTCGGTCCTGCGAAATCATCAATGTAGGAAATCCCAAAGGGCTGGATTGGGACTGAGCCCACACCGAAGAGCAGCTGAGCACTGGCCATGAGCACCCACAGGTTGTTGGTGTCCTCCAGCTGCTTGGTTTTGTCACAAGACTCTGTGCTGCTCCGGTTCTCATGCAGGTTGCAAATGTCGTGACGATCTAAGTTTCAGCAGGTGGTTGCACATGAACAAAGACAGGAAGAAGGAATGTATAATGAGTAGTAGGTAATGACAGGTCACTGGATGGTTTAGATTTCCTGAAGTTCCCGGTCATGTTCTGCGTCCTCCTCGTGTGTCTCCTATCACTCCCTGTTAGTCCCTACTTGGTTTTATATTAGTTCTCCTCCTCCCTCTAGTTATTAGTTGTTTACATTTGCCCTCAGTCTCTAAGTTTAGTTATCTGTGTTTTACGGTGATCCCTCGTTTATCGCGGTAGATGCGTTCCAGACCTGGCCGCAATAGGTGAAAATCCGCGAAGTAAGGACACCATATTTACAGTACAGTACTATATTGACTGTGGGTAAAACTCAAGAAAAAAAAATTTACTTGTTTTTTTATAGTTTTATTACAAAAAGTGCATTTTATGATGAAATTGATAAAAAAACAGGAATTTCTTGATATTTCGCATAGAAAAATACCGCGAATTGGCGAATTTCCCTTGAATAAGGCTCCAAAGAAAAAATCAGCGAAGTCGTGAATCCGCGATAAACGAACTGCGAAGTAGCGAGGGATCACTGTATATGTTTATCTGCCCTCCTGCTTGTTTCTTTCCCTCATTTAGATTATTGCATGCACCTGCCTTCCCTCCAGCTCTCACTACTCCCACCAGTCACCTGTTTCCCTCTGTGTTTATAACCCGGTCTATGTCTTTCAGTGTCGTTGGTTCATTGGAATTGTCAGCGTGTTCTGTCCTCCTCTAGTTACGCTAGTTCAGGGGTGCCCAATCCTGGTCCTGGAGGGCCGGTGTCCTGCATGTTTTAGTTTGAACTCATTAACAGGCTTCCACAGCGCCTGATGAGCTGCTGCACAGGTGTTTCAACCACTGAATCAAGTCTGTTGGAGCAGAAAAACCACAAAACCTGCTGGATACCGGCCCTCCAGGACCAGGATCGGGCACCCCTGCCCTAGTTTGTGCTCATGTCTGTCTGTCTGTTCAGCGAGTTTGATATTAAGTCGGGGTTGTTTTAGTGCCTCTGGACTTTGGCACATCTGCCTTTAAAATAAAGGAAGTATTCTCTTAAACTTCTCTCGAGTCGTTCTGGGGATTCTGCATCTTGGGTCCTAACCTCCTGCTCTCACCGTGACATTCCCCTGACCTTCCACTGACACACCGATGCTAATGTTCTCCGTCTGCGGCTAAATGAAAGGCGGGTTGGTGCTGTTATAGCAAATGAAATACCCTCAAGGCACAATCTGTGTAAATCTTAGTACACAGGATTGTTTTTGAGTTTCTGTCTGACGGTTCAAATGAAGAGCAGCACCAAAGCTGAGTGAGCCCCATTTAAACATATTAAACATATGTTAGACTCCTGCAGAGAGCTGAAGCAGCTTTAGACAAACCTTCTAAAGTCTCATAGATTACTCAGAAATGTCTGCGCAGTGCTGTGGAACAGTGTTCGCCTCCTTCTTTCGTCACACTTAAAAGTTTCAGATCAGCAAACAAAGTTTAACGTCAGAGAAAAATAACCCAAATAAATGCAAAATGTTGTTTTCAGACAATACTCTTATTACTATAAAGACACCAGTATGTGCACGTAAGCAACAAAAACAATGGAAGACTGATGAGAAAAATACTTTTTTAAAGCGCTGTGTGTGTGTGAGTGGCCTGCTCGGGACCAAGTCAGATCAGTGATCCTGGTAGCATCACTGGGGTCTGGTTTAGTATCGTCTTACTGTGAAAGACTGAATCATAGTCATAGGGCTGTGACAGGAAGTGAGGTAAGGTCAGGATCATGGCACTGACAGCCATCAGCAGTCCGCCGATTCCAATGACACGAGGACGATGAACCCGATTTCCAAAGTAGCTCACAAACACAATCAGGAGGATGTTGCTGACCTAAAACAGACAGATACGTGGTTTAAAGAGGAGGAGGAGGAAACGTCGTCTCTCTTTTTACACGTCCAAAACCGACTATGAAGGAAAATGCTGCGATGGGCCTTTGAGTATACATTATCACTAAAACTCTTCTAAATGCAGCTGTAACCCGTAACCCTCCCACTGTCCTAATGGGTGTGACCCCGCATGGAAAGGTGACCATTGAGCAGGGTTGATGGTTCATCCCTTGGGTCCATGTGGCAGGGGTGAGGAGTGAGCACTGCCATGGTCCTGCCACGTGGACCTCAAGGGATAAACCATCAGTCTGGCTCAACGGTCAACTTTCCTCTCGGGGTCACCCACGAAGACAGTGGGAGGGTTATAGCGTGGCTCTAGGCTGGTGCGTTCAGACCTTTAACACCAAAATCCAACAGATGGAAATATCAGCATAGTGATGTAGTTCCAGGTCCATACTGGACTAATAGAAGCATGCACATGTGATGCTTTCTAAACTCACAGGACGCCGTGTCTTCATGCACTTACAACAAAGCTTTCCCAAAGTCCCACTTAGAATGTCAGGAAATGTGCCTTTAATAGGTCGCTTGTACTTCAGTTCCTCCGTCGTCATCTGTACTCTTGATTTTAAGTGATCATAATCTTACAGTTTGCAATAACACGTTATTGTTAGCTCACACCTCATTGAGAGAGGAAATGGTTCCAGATGAGTAGCTGCTGAGGCCATAGCGTCTTTCGATGGTAGTGATGGTGCTCTTGAAGTAGGAGGTGTACAGCAGCTGAGAGAGCTGCAGGAGGCCGTGGCAAAGGACGAACAGCTAGGGAAAAGCAAACGGTAGGTTGTGTAAAGACTGACAAAACTGGTAACACTGCAGGAGAAGAAATAGACAGGATGAAATTATTACATTTATTTAACAGCTTATAATCGCTTACTGCCTGTGTGTATGTACATGCACTTTAGTTATTATTTTACTGTATGTGCTGCTGTAACAAGTGAATTTCCCCACTAGACATCAATAAAGTCTTTTCTATTCTAACATACCGGTGTGCTTGTATCCAAAGTGATTTAAATTTTCACTTAACATGCATGGTTTTTGGACGTTGAAGTTGGGGGAAGTAGGCCGGATATGGACTGTGAACTGGCACTCAGGCTTTTGTACTATATTTTAAAATAGATTTCTTATTGTATTTTCATAGGATTTATTACGTTATTTTACAGGGATTTCTTAGTGTATTTTAATGGATTTATTAATGTATTTTAACGGTCATATCTCTGTCCTATTGTGTTGCATTTTATTGGTGTACAGCGCTTTGTTTGTCCATTCTGGCCATGTGAAAGCGCTCTATAAATAAAGTTGATTTGATTTGATGGTTTGAGTCAGTGGGAAGAAACCAGACTCTCCGTAGGAATGCACGGCAAGAACACGCCAACTCCACATAGAAGGGCTGGGATTCAAACCTGCAAACTACTGGCTGCAAGGCAACACTGCAACCAACTGCACCACCATGCAGTCTTAAACAGGATATCAGTAGCATCCATAACTCCAGACTACACTTTTATTATGGTCTGTTTTTGCCTTTGTGTGTGTTAGCAACATATTTATTCAAGCACACTCGACTACTTTCTTCTACAATCTGCTCTTTAACTGTATTATTTCCTGCTACTTCAGCTGTTAACTTTATTTTCTCTCTAAGTGTTTTTCTCCCCAGAAGAAGCTACAATGATGTCCTGCTGAGCTGTGGTGGCCTCATGGAGGGGGCCATCGTCTAGCACACTGCTGCTAACCACTTAAACATTCTCCCTCTCCTGATAATAACTTTTTACTCTATTTGACATTGAAAGTGCTACTACTAGTTTACCCATTTAACTATAGATCCACTAGGATAAATACAATAAAGTTTATCTCTCACCAAATATAATATTTACTAAGACATCACAATGTAACCGTGTGTGTGTGTGTGTGTGTGTGTGTGTGCGTGCGTGCGTGCGTGCGTGCGCTCTGTCTTCTCCATCCCCAGAGAGTCGTGGAGGATGGCTGCTTATACTGAGCCGGGATCCTCTGGAGGTTTCTTCCTGTTAAAAGGGAGTGTTCCTCTCCACTGTCGCTGCATGCTTGCTTAGTATGAGGATTGCTGTAAAGACTCTAACACAAGTCAGCGACTTGATGCAACCTGCTCGGTTACATATGTAGAAAACTTTTTTTCTGATTGGCTTAATGAACTGACCTGTATTGGAGTCTTTACTATGTGAAGTGCCTTGAGACGACTCTTGTCATGATTTGATGCTATATAAATAAACTTGAATTGAATTGAATTGGATTTAAGCACAGGAAAAAAACACTAATGATACTGAAAAGTAATCATTAGACATACATTTGTTTCATGGACTCAGTCCCATTCAAGATGGCTGCCACAGCTAACTGGACTAGAAAACCAAAATGTATGCAGCTCAGTAAACTTTTCAGAAATGCAGCTAATGCCACGTGTTAGTAGCAGAGACACAGAGAGCTAACAGACTGCATTATCACAAATATTTATCAAGATTTACCCAAAAAGTGATAACTGGATCATCTTTCAGATGACCTCATTTTAAAAGTTGATGGGCGATTAGAGCTCTCTTAAAGACCAGGTTCACTAGTTTTTTCAACATGTTAGCAGTGGTTTCCAGTATAAATGCATGCCTTGTCTTATTTCCTGATATTTGGACATCTCTCCCCTGACTGGCTAACAGCAGCACAACTCTACCGCTGACTGTGTTTGCTTTGAAACGTTGATGTTTTATTTCCACAAATAACACAAACCTGGAGGAGTTCTGCCGTGTGGTGAAGGTGCTAATGCTAATGTTAGCTTCTTTTCATTTTGCATTCAGTTTACAGGAAATTATCATCTTGCCTTCTAAGCTATTTCACACGTCATTTCACACACCGTCTCCAGGGGATTTCACTTAAGCAGATATTAGCAAATCAGAAAAAGTTAGATTTTTTTATGTGTTCTCTTTGCACGTCTTATCTCAGTCAGCAGGACTTACCCTAAAGCCAGAGGCAACCTTTTCATTCTTTAGGTCATACTCATCACCAGAATGTTAACTATGGTTTGGCTGAAGTGTAATCATTCAACATCAGGTTCTACGTCTGTGGGCTACTCAAGTAAATGAACGCGGTCGTTTCTCTGGTCTCAGAGACCACTGGTGAAAGCTTCAACTGGATTACAGCAAAAACAATTAATGAGGTTTTCCAGGAAGCAGAATAATGCCATTAGGTTCAGTGATGACGCATTAGAATCACTCTAGTTACACTAAACACGACACGTCTGCGTTGATTATGTGGCGGGTATCTCTTCACACCTTGAATTAAATAAAGATCAAAGCCAACCACTGAATGGACTCTTGGGGATTTGGAAGAGGAGCCTTTCTCTCCCCCGAGGCCTTCACAGAGACTACGCAAGGTGGGATGAATGCTCCAATGACGTTAAAGATCTGTGTGGAGATTAGGAGTGAATTTACTATGAAAACAGTGATAAATCCAGTTTGTTTCTCAGCTGTCGGGCGGACTAGTGGAGAATAAACTACGCACTTGCCCCAGAACAGTTAATGCTCCCATTAAACTATGGTTTTCTGGTATGTTAGCACACACAATAGATGCTTGTACAGTGTTGCTAATGTTTCATCCTTTTTTCTATCAAACAGTCTTCAGTTGTCTGAATGTGTCAAAGCAGCAACAGTTTTTGCTCAGACAGGCAAAATAGATGATGTCCTGTCCACCATCTTGCATGTTTTCTGTTCCAACACACTTTACATCAATCGGTGGGATTAGGATTTTATTCTATGGTTTGGCCTGTTCTCCACTAAAAAGTGAAGACATATTCCACCAGAAACATTTCTATTAAAGACTCCGACCAAATGAAAAAGAGAATATTTGTGAATTTTCCATTGTCAGCATTTGCCTAATGCATAATAATGCATAATAATGCATAATAATGCATAATGATACTGCCTGCGACAAAAAATGCTCTGACATCACAAATGTGACCTGTGCATACATTTGCTTTCACAAAAACAAATATACCTTCTGTGCATTGAAGCTGTTGCCTGGCAACCATCCTATATATGTGAATATATACTTTGGCCATGACCCATAGACAGAGTTCAGTGGTGGGGCAGAATCTACGGTTGTCTTTCAAACGGTCTCCACATGATATTGGACAATGAAAAACAGGACATATTCACTGCTATAGAAGTCAGTCAACAGGGCAATCCACCTTACACTGTTGAAGAAGACACAAATGCATCTTTCTTCTAAAAAAGGGACTTAAGTACCTCTATCTGCTCTTGACTCAAAGAAATTCCAAGTCTAAATAGTCAAAAGTTGATGTGAAAGTCTTTTTAAACGAGCAACCACCATCTTAGTTGTTCGGCTTTGTCACATAACTACCAAATCAATAGAGCATTGTGATTGGCAAGACACAAGCCTGGTCAGACCGGCTGAGGCTCCAATGGGGCGTGGCTAGACCAACCTGCAGAGCAAAATCACTTTGTTTTGGCAACGGTCTGTCTAAATTTCTGGGCTTTTGGAGCTGTGATTTCTAGCAGTGAATAAAAAAAGAATCATGTAGGAATTTGCAATTAATCATTTCATTTTCTGTTCTAAGCGACAATTCTAGTTTTGGATCCGAGGCGAGGAATGTCCAATAGGGAAGGTCCAATAACAAGGTCGGGGACGGAGCAGGGTCGGAGCCAGAGGATCAGAGGGGCAGAGGTGCAGACAGGGAAATCCAAAAACAAGGTCGAGAGCGGAGCAGTATCGTTACCAGAGGAGCAGAGATGCAGAATAACAATCAGAAGGACGAGGTCGGGAACGAAGCAGAATATAACCAGGAGGGCACGGCGAGGTGGAAGGTCAGGAGATAAGGCAGGGTTCGGGATCCGTGACGACAAGGTGGGTAACGAGGCTGGAGAATTTACTTGCAGGAGCGTTCAATAATCTGGCAGGGAACTGGTGGCTGGCTGGTGAATATATAGCAGAGGGAGCAGGTGTGTGTAATGAGCTGATGACAGGAACGGGTGTGATGAATGAAGTGATGAGGCGCAGGCTGGGGTTGCTGTGGAAACGGGGCATGGCAGGAACAGGAACACGACACCACCTTCATCATCCAAACACACCTCCAACCACAAATCTTCAGCCTAAAACTCCAGGTCCCATCATCCTCCGCTCACCGGAAATCCTCCTGCGTCATCACAGTCAGTGATAAAAGGAGGAAGTACACACCACAACCTGACTCACGCCGGACACACCGGCCGCGGAAGCGCCGCGAAAATGGGACCGCCTTCATTTGGCGCCCTTGTTAAGCTATTCTATAGACCACATGGGCCGCCGAAGCGCCGCAAATCATCTCGCGCCAGTGCTCGGGCCCGCGCCGTGCAGCGATCATTTCGGCGTCGGCTCTATTTTTTTTGCGAGCCGCGGGTGAATCGCTTCAATTCTGGCAGGAAGTCAAACCTAGACATAAGAGGCAGGCCAGTAAAGTTAACAAAATAAAGCATTTCAAAATAAAATTCCGCAATAGTCAAATGTGTTCGTAATCAGACACTTCAGAAAAACCACACGAACACACACACACACACACATCGAACTTGTGTGCGTGTGTGACCACGTGAAGGGGGGTGTGGTTTTGGGTGTCTTCACCGGAGCAAACAGGACAGAGAGGCATGACTTTAAATTGATTATGGAAGTTGAGAAACACAAGGAGCTGTACGACCCCCGAAAAACATGGTTATTTACTAGGGATGTAAGAAAATATCGATGTGGCAATATATTGTGAT